GCTTGCTTTGGTTAGGTTCAACGTTAAACCACAACGTTTGTGGGTTGGCACACAAGAGACTAGGGCATAGTAAGTCACAGACTTGGTATCATAGATAGAAAGAGGATATAAGCAGTGGAATCTAGAGCTGGTTGGCTAACAATAATCGTGATTCAAGGATCACTTCTATCATCAAACACGACTATTTTTTGCCAAATAACTTTAGTCTCCACATCGTCTTTCCTATTTCCATCTGTGATACCATTTCCATCATTTCCGACGTCCTCTATTGTGTGCCAATCCACAAATGTTTTGGTTAGGCTTGTTTTGATTAGGCTCACTGAAGACGTCTCCCCTTTTGCTTCTGATTGTATTCATCCCCCTGCTATCTATTTTCCTAAAATTAAGAATATTACCTTGATCTAGTCGTCTTCTTTTTGCTAATCTTGCTTTTGCCTGGTCTTCTCTGAGTTTGTTTAGGCAATATGCAAAACTGCCTTCTAGTCTCCTGTTCATTAGATTTCTCTCGGTCAGTATTTCGATGGCTTCTCGGATCATGCGTTTACTCGTATTTTTACTACATGCAGCCAACCTTTCTGTCGATTTCCAGTTGATTTCGTGCCCCGTTAGTGCAATGTGTTCCGGTATTTCTGATCTTTTCGTATCCATGTTTCTGCAGAGTCTTTTATGTTCCTTGATTCGTAGACCGATTTTTCTTACTGTTTTACCGATATATTTCTGTTCGCAGTTTCCGCATTTCATACGATAAACTCCCAAGCAATCAAGCTTGTCCGCCTTCTCGTGTTGCGTCGGCAGACTTGTTTAAAGTGTTTTCTTCTCATTTGTTATCATTCTGATATTCCACTTCCTTAGTAACGGTCGCAATTGTTGGCTCAGTTGTAACGAGGGCAAGCAAATCCACTTTTGGTCGCCCTCCTGATTCTTAATCTGATTTTCATAAAATCCAAGTTGAACTCAGCTTTTTATCGCCTCTACATTTTTTTCTATAAATGCTCTGGGCTATCCATTACTAAGGCATATCCGTGTCAGTTTGTCTAACTCCTCGTTCCAGAACTCATTGTCCGTTAGTCGTAAACTTCTGATGATCAAACTCCTCATTGTTCCGATATTCAATCTGTAGTTAAGATGAGACTGAAAATTAAGGATTATTCCCGCATACGAATTCTTTCTGTATAGTTTCCTCATGAGTGTCCCCTTGGAGCATATGACTTCAATATCCAGAAAGGGTAGTCGTTCATCCTCTTCCACCTCCATTGTGAATTTAATTCTTTAATCAAGTTGGTTAATAAAATTGAGGAATTCATTTAGATTTTCCTTACCATATGACCAAAGTGAAAAGTAGTCATCCAAATATCCCATAAGCAATCTTACTTGCAGTGGTGACTTCACAAATTCCCTTCCCAACTTGTCCATGTACACATTTGCCAAAAGAGGTGAGAGTAGAGATCCCATCGGTACTCCAAATATTTGCTCGTAGATAATGCCATTAAATTTACAATATGTGGTCCATACTGTCAGGTTTATCAATCGTGTTAACGATTCTTACCGTATCGCTTCTGCCTCCAGGACATCATCTTCTCGCTCCAAAATCTCCAGCAAGGCGCTTACTGCCTTCTCGCCTGAGATGTTTGTGTACATGGATTGTACATCGAAACTATCCAACAGTTCCATCCCCTCCAACGCATTCTTCTGGATACTTTGTGAAAATTCATATGAATTCTTGACGGTATTCAAGAGTCTATCATTTACTTTCTTGAGCTAGTTTATGCATTGCTCCCTGCTTGTTGTTGACTATTAGTCTTAGCGGATTTCCGTCCTTGTGTATCTTCGGTAGTCCGTAGGCTGTCGGTAGTCTTGCGTCATTTTTGATTAAAGATTTCACCATCCATTTGTCAATTTCCCCATTATTATGCATTTCCTTAAGCATATTCTTTAGTGTGCCGTTGATCTCCCTTGTTGGATCCTTGCTTACTATTTGATAAGTGTTCTGGTAGCCAAGGATACTTTCCATTTACTCCGTATATTATTTCTTTTACATTACAATCGTTGCCTCTCCCTTATCCGCCGGAAGAACTATTTGATTATTTTTTTGTAATTTTTTTTCCTATAGCAGCCAATTTGCTCCTGTGTATCTGTTCTTGATGTGTCAGGATTCGTGGGATTATTTCCAGTTCCATCTCCCACCTTGTATCTTCTGGATATTTGTCCGTTATGTTGACAACTTTCACCAGGATATCACTAAGAACATTTCCTTCATTATCTGGTGAAAAATGTAACCCCTTCTTTAAGAGATCCGTAGTTTCAGAATCCACAGTGATTAAAGATAGGTTTACTATCAGGGTGATAACAAAGGAGAAGAAAACTTTTAACCAGTCTGCCGACGCAACACGAGAAGACGGACAAACTTGATTGCTCGGGAGTTTATCGCATCAAATGCGGAAACTGTGAGCAGAAGTATATCGGTGAAACAGGAAGAAAAATCGGTCTACGAATAAAGTAACATCAAAGACTCTACAGGAACATGGATACAAAAAGATCCGAAATACCGGAACACATTGCACGAACGGGGCACGAAATCAACTGGAAATCGACAGATAGGTTGGCTGCATGTAGTGAAAATACGAGTAAACGCAAGATCAGAGACGCGGCGGCGATGGGAGGTAGTGGGCTGACAGTAGTTTTTATAAGAGACGTGGTCCATGTGGCAAAGGCCTGACAATGATACTTACTCATAGGCTTGAGCCTCGAATTAGTCACCCAGACTCAGGGTAGTGCCAATAACGCCTCGAGTGGCAGGGTTCGAGTGAAATATGTGAACCAGGGATAGGTCAGACGGATCTTACGGAGCAAGAGATGGACTGTAATAAGACCTAGGGAAGGAGGACGACGTGTAGATTTGGCAGACCCTGATCCATATTCCCTACACAAGGATGAAGGGGGGTGATAAGGTCAGCGTGGACTGCGAAACGTTCTCATGAAAGCCGCTAAAAAAATGGCTCACCGTACCACATTTAATTAAGCAAGTAAAAAATTGTGACGGTGAAGGCGTGATAGGAGGATATAGGAAATGTGAATAGGTCAGGGCAGAAGGGGAGATACCATAACTGTTTAGCACACGTTTGGTGAAAGGTCGGCTTTACTTGTCTCTTTGACGAGTTGTAATATGGTGCTACGAATGGTAAACCTCACTGACGATGCCTAGAAACGTCTTGAAATATACCCCTTCAACGGTCCGACTTTGGAAATAATTATGCATACAATGGATTCAGGACAAGGTGCGTTCCTCTAAGTCTTTCTACCAATATGACCAAGTTGCGAAAACAAAGTCAAACAACTTCCAAGTTTATGTTTTATAAAGCAGCATTCTAGTATAATAGCTGCTATAGTGGAATAGGTTTTTAAATTCAAGTCGTAAGCATATTTTTATACCGGTTTTGCACACTGCATAATTTGTCACTTTAAATTCATATTTAAAAAGTCTCAAATCATTTCTCCTTCAACTGACAGGAAATATTTCTCTTTGGTTAGAATCTTGTGAGTTTCACACTAAGTCTATGGTATAGTCCCGGTTTACACTTAAACTCCTTATTGTTGAACTAATACACGTTATTATCTAATTTTATTAAAATTTAATTTATTCTTCATTGTGATAAATGGACGTTATTATCTTCCATCATTGTAGCTCGCACTTTACACCCCGCACTAAAAGTTCTATTATTGAATTAGTATAACCTCGTTTGCGCAACTTTGTCACGGTGACTGAACACTTGTTGATTACCTCTAGTCCGGTGTCTTAGTCCTCTTCCAAAGTAGTCAGTATAATTTATACCCCGACGTTTAGCTGACGTCGTTATTAAGAGGCGCCATCTTCAGCACCAAGTTATGACTCATCGAAGTTACAAATCCTATGGATTTTTTTCCCTAACGATTATGCCATGCTCCCTTTTATTTCAGGCTCCTAACGCTGCTTCCTCTTGCCCCGATCCACTTCATATGGTCAAGTTTTATACTTATCTCTTGGTGCCTTTGTTTGCCCAACTATCTTCCAACTGTGTCGCCCTTCAAGTGGGCTTAGTAAGGCATAACCGTCCTCATTACCTGTTCCGCATCCCATCTGCAAAGCGTTTTAATCTCACTTAATTTTTAAATTCAAAAATTCACTTTTAACTTTTCAGCTGTTACCTCGTCTCCTATCTAGTTTACTAGCTATACCCCATTAATCTCTGCCACTGCATATTTGCTAGCCTCACCGAGGATAGCATGACGTAATTCTTAGTCCTTCCGCCTTTTTAAATCTCCTTGACTTCTGAACTCCAATCATCCACTTATCAAATTTTCTCGCCTCTCCCTATCCTCCACAGTCTCTTTAATTTTTAGGTCTGGCTTATTTTAAATCCACTAGTCTGGAAATCTATCGCTTCATTCATTACTTACGTTTTACGTATAAAACTCTTATTGCTCTTTCTTGTCATCAGTTCCTCAACAAAGAGAATGTACACTGTAGTGGATGCATACTTTTACTATTTTCACTATTGCCCTTCTATTTAAAAGGGAATTATCAGCATCACCCACCTGTCCATCCTTATATTTATCCTTTAATCCTCTCCAGTCTTTATTGATATCCGTATCTTGTTTGCTATCTTGCCAGAATGAATTCGTCTCTATCTTACGACATGGTGGTACTGTTAGCGGTTGGGACACTCTGAGTTCTCGGTGTGCTTATTCCGGCCTCCCGCTGCCTGCACTTACAGGAATCGATTCGTCAGCTCCTCTTACTTCTGAGTGGCTTTCTCTCGAACTTTCTCCACTGTGCTTGCCTCGACTACCCCTAAGGTTGCATAATGCCCGCGTGAACGGTGTCATATCGGTAAGCAGAGCCATCGGAGGTAATCGTATCTATGGCCTTTCGCCCCTGCCATCACTCTCTGCCTGTCCACTGCCCTACTTTCATTCAACGCCTTCGAAAGTCCAAGATAGCTCAGCCATTATGCCTTTGTCGCAGTTAACCTCTTTATCGACCGATAGTCATCTGGAAATATCTACCAAAAAATCATTAGAACTTCTTTCAATAAGATCCCAAAACAAACCAGAAATGGTGCCAATTGAAACAGTAAATGGATTACTTCCAAGGCCTTCATTTCAAACAGCAGCTGCATCTGAGCAAATCGCAGCATCAGTTTCAGATGATGTAGTAAGTTCAGCATTTGAATCAAGCGTTCCATTCCAAACACTTGTTTTGGCAACAAAAATTGATCCGCCATCATCATTTCGACCACTCTTTACTTCCGATCCTAGTAACATAGGGCGGAATTCGCCACTTTGCTTGTTGCTTGCGTCTGACGGCCTCTGGGACGTCTTCCCTCGCGGACAGGAATTAGCCGAGCTGGTAGAGCGGCATTATCGTCTTAGGTGTGCAGCCGCTTATTCCATGCCCACTTCAAACGGTTCTAAACTGCCCCGCCTAGCTAGTGAGCTGGCTCGACTAGCTATTCAGCGCGGATCGTCAGATAACGTGACCTGTCTTGTCGTCTGGCTGGCCGGGCACGATATTGACCTGCCTACATCACCTGTTCTTTTTGCTGCCGTGGAGGCCATCAGCCATGCTCAGCTAGTCGAATGGCCACGAGGTAGCCGGGCTGCATCACAGCTCTCTCTCTCTCCAGGCTCCAATAGTTTGCCGGCCTGGCAACTAGATGTGCGTGGGCCACGGCTCTCCACCTTTTATAATATGTCTAGGCATTGGGTTACCTCCGCTCCTATTGATGCCATCTCTGAACTCTTGCCTAGGAAGCCAGCAGATCCTTTAGTTCAGAATTCATCCTACGCGGAATCAGCAGTCTCTGCCCCTCTTAGACAATCGAGATCCATGAGACGTCGACCGGCCTCTCTTGATATGGGACGAGCTACTGGAATGATGAAATCCTCAAGTCCCTTACGTATTTTGCTACCACCTGATATTTAAACCTAAGCGGATTTATTTTTCAATCTACACAGCATTGATAGGTATTATTGATGCTAATAATGGCATTTATGCTGCCTTCGTTACTACTATGCTGTTAGACTTTATTCAAAGGATTTTTACCTTTTCTTGTTTCCGGTATTGTCGAAGATATCTTCATTTCGCTTGCTTTTCACTCTATAAATTCTTTCATGCCTTAATGCTTTTTCTACTCTGACCTTATATAAATTGTCCCTTCCTATGTCTGCTTGATGTAAACAAACTCTTCTACGTCCTATTTCACATCTCGAATCTACTTTATTTGGCAATAAGGGACTTTACTTTGCTATCCACCATAGTTTTTATATGCTAGAACTGCTTCCCTGCTCAATAACTCAAATTACATGAACATTTAGCCCTTTAACATCTGCCTACTACTGGTTTTAGCCGTATTACTGGAACCATTCTTGTTACAAATTAATTTAAAGCAAATTCCTAACTGCCTCACTTCTCTTTTTAGCATTATATATTATCATTCCACATTCACTATATTTCCCTTCATAACTTTCCATAAATCCATCAGTCATTCAACCAATCAGTCTTTCTATTGTTTATTCCTACCCGCCTATCTATTATGTCTGTACATTTGTCGATCCTCCACCCTGCCTATTCTCTTCACTACTTTTTTACTACATTTTTTCGTTCTTCTTTTATGGAAATGCCGTATTGCTAATTTTTTAAATTATGTCTTCACCTTACATTATTTTTTCTTTGTACTCATGCCAAAACATTATCTATCTTTTTACCCATTCATTTTGTCTGAAATGCATCCGATGAGTTACCTCTATATCTAATTGCATGACTTTCCTTTCCTTTGTTACGTTTCTTAATTGTGAACTAATTTTGATCTTTATTTTTCCTGTTAGAGGGATACTTTGTTACTACTCTTTCTTTACTTCAAAGTTGCACGGTTTATACCATTATTTCGCTCCATATTTCCTACATGGAAACGATCATAATTTTTTTAATTTATGCTCAAGGTTCCAGTTTCTTTTTGTTATCTTCAAAATTCTACCTTATTTTTGTGTGTGTCCATATTAGCAATTAGCTATTTTTCACTTTTTATAGCCTTGTCTCAAATCTTGATTGGGAGTGCATTTGATATCTTTATCTCATAAACCTTATTGCCAGTATG